TGTAGAATACACCCTGAACATTTCAGCTTGCTCCGATAAGTGCTTCACCTTAAAGAATCTGTATGTTTGACGCAGGTGGGTATCTATACATGTACGAGGGCGGTTCAATAAGTACCCGTGTTGGATGACAGAGGGCGTTCCTGAGAGAATTTAATGTTATCATCATGTATTGCCATCTAGCAAACGACGGCACAACAAATTTCAGACTGATTGATAGGTTAGTTTGGATGTGGCAGCCATTCGACTAACACGTGGTGTTTCGTGATTTTCGCTAAGATGGAAAAAGAGCAGTATCGTTCGGTAATTCGCTTTTTGTTTTTGGATGGGAAAAAATTCGAGGAGATAAAAGCAAAGTTGGATGCTATTTATGGGGACACTTCGCCATCTATGAGCACAGTTAGATATATAAACGTGAGCGAACATCCGTTTTTGATGAGGATCGACCAGGACGCCCGGCAGACTTGGTTACCGATGAAATCATTCAAAAAGTCATGATTCTCGCTCATCGACAAACGAAAGTGCGCGAAGTAGCAGAGCCCGTAGGTGTGTCGACCGGAACGGCAAACAATATTTTACATGATAAGTTGGCTATGAAAAAATTGTCGGTCCGATGGGTGCCGCGATTGCTCACGGTGGACAACAAGCGGATGCGGCTGTTAACTTCGAAGCAGTGTTTGCAGCAATTTAAGCGAAATCCGAGTTGTCACCGTCGATGAAACCTGGATTTATCATTATATAAAATTCCACTGAAATGTACTAGACTCAATCATAAAACAACCATTTATGAACTGTAGGAAATTTTTAGTAGTATAACTATGAAAAAAAGGATAGATCAAAGGAAGACGGAACGATACACAAAGGTCAGCTTCAGCCAAAAGCATTATAGAGACGTAAAAAAATTGCATCATTACAAAAGTAATCAATAACAAGAAAACAATATGTATATTTCCAAATCTGAAATATAAGTATGTGAAAATCTTGGGAGCTAATACCGGTGATTGTGATGAAAATTCTGCAATCTGGCAATGCAGCTATGGCACTCTTCGCCATTGTCGCTTCCCCTTTCAAGGCGCGATATTTAAAATTTATTGATCATGAAATGAGGAAACACATATACTCGTATTATAATTAATTCTCAATCACACTTTCATATTTTATTATTTCAATAAGATAGTCGATGATTTTCACTTAACAGTGACTAATACATATGTTTACACGGCATTATTAAGTACTTATAACACTTATCATCATCATTCGGAGGTTCTTTATTTGGAAGATTACAATTTAAATTTATGATAAAATGCCACGTTACATCCACGACTTTTCCACGTGTATAAATAACCAACGCAGGTACTGATGTATTTGCGGTCACTGTTTCACGTGGATAAAACGTCCTCCATCGACCACTGCACCGGATTTCCACTTTTTATCGACGATTATATTATAAGAATACAGGAGGAAATTATAGCAAACTAATATGTTTACGTTAATTAATCGATTAAGTGACTGCAACATAAATTGGTATGAAGGTGTACACACGTCGTAATATTCACGTTTTATCGACGTGGTGTGGTTATATCGGACAAATTTAAGCGAAATTTGATCCATAACTGACGTCGAATAAACGTAGAATTTTCCCTAAATTTCAGCTTCGACCAAAATCACCAAATATGTACGTCGATTACACGACACCGTGCTGGCTGGGCCAACTTAAGGCTTCCGCTGCATTCTGAACTTGAACTGGATGGGGAAGGTATCTATCCAATCCTTTTGAGGCTTTTAAATAATCCATCTCCTTACTCTTGTGTTTCCAGGCATCTGCATCTTGTCTGAGATACTCTCGAATTAGGAAAACTTGGGTATCGCAAATTAGTAATTTTCCGTTAAAAAGTTTACATAAGCATATTGAGGTTATATACCTAATAAAATCACAATATTGTAAAAGAAAATAAATAAGGTATTTATAAACTACTAAATTTATATCAGACAATTGTTCTAAATAACTTACCTTAATTTTAGTAATCACTTTTCTCGCACTATTAAAAATATTTTTAATTCTCAGAATGTAACAAGTTGTGAAGTCACAGGAAACCATGTGCTAAACTAAACTATAATCACATGTAGAATACCACTGCGTCTTAGTTCACAAGTTTCTGGTATTACTAGAAGATGGTGCTACAAAGATTCAAAGTTACACCACTGTCATAAATTAGGCCCTTGTCTCAAATTTGGTTCATTTCCTCTATCTCTGTTGACACTATGTGAGCAACTGACGCGTTCCTGATTTTAGTAGGACAAATCACGCTAATTTCAAACTATCATTTCTTGATTAACTACGCATTGATCAGGGTTAAATCCTTAGTGTATCTTTTCATTAAAATATTTTATAATGTTTATTTGACAATACAAAGAGTACCTATTCGTACATTATTAGTGTTCGATCATATTGTACCTGAATCTTAATTGTTACATTAATTTCGTCATATATTTCGATTAAAGCATGACATTTTTTGCTTTTTGGATGATTTATCCCCATAATTTTTGGATTGACTTTTGGCAGAATATTGACATCCCAAATACACACCATTCACCTTTGAATATCACATAACTATTTCGATATAAATTTATTTTTTGTCTGTAAATACTACGCACTATAACAAGATTTCCAGAAAAGATCAGTGAGCACCCTGTGAAAATAACCAAAACTAGAATAAATGTGCACCCACCATTTTCTTGCCATTTTTGTATCGCGGTGTCTCCGAAATTTCTCTCCGTTCTTCTCGTAATCGAAAGGTGCAAAACATTATTGCAAATCACTACATTCACTCACAATCACTTATTATTAATGCCACCAAACGACTTTTCCGGGTACGGTCGAGTTTTCCATTTAAAGACACTGAAAATGACGCTCCCGAAAAGCCCGTTTAAGAAGGCCGCGAAGACAGTTAAGACCAATTATTGCAACATTGCATATGCATACCAAAGGACAGACGTTTTTCTAGGAAGTTGGCCAACGCCCGAACTCACTGCAGAGAATTCTTCCAGACCAGTTTGTATTAACAAGGCAATTTCGTTTATTTTAACAATTATTTTCTCTGATATCAGAGATATCTTAGTACAGTTAATAAAAACTGTCGGAAAAGATATTGATAAATCATAATGTAGGATTCATTGTTTAGAAAATATTTGCCCCTTGCCCTATTTCTGTTTCAATATCTAATTAACAGATCAAATACAGATCAGTTAAATAAGGGTCATCTCAAAATAAAAGACTGAAATTCTGCTTCTTACAAACGGTGTCAATTAGGTTGACTCTGCATCTTACTTCAAATGAATGAAAGTTGGTTGTATCTTTTCATCGAATTGTGTCATAGTCCAGTCATTATCGACAAAGGAATTGGTCTAAGTACTGAACCTGCGCTCAAATCAAAGTTTTTTTTTGTGGAAAATGTAACCCTTTTTGGACGCAATCTTGATTAATGAATAATATTATACAGCTTCAAGAACATTATTAACGAAAACAATGTTTTACTTATTAAATATTTTCGATATCGAATACCAAAAATCTTGTGATAACGGAATTTGTACTTATGCCGTCTCATAAATTCAGTTTCACGATGACACAGGACGCATTTTATCACTGTCGGGCCTCGAGACTGAAGGGGGGACCCCGTACGAAGCTTGTGCTCCGCGACCTATACCAAAACACATGCCCAAAAGCGAGATTGTACAGGTCCGTATTTTCCTCAATGGTCTTGGAATAATCTAACAAAATAAATGATTATCTTTATAGAAAGAAGTGCACATACTTTTCACAATTCTTTATTCGCTGGAAGTACTTGAATCATCGTCCGAATGGTTAATCTTAATTATTACAGGTTCAATTTGAATATCGATCATATCGTCCAGATCCCACATCTTTGTTTCGATTGTCTCTTGAACGTGACGTATGCAATTTTTCCAATGGCTCACTTTCTTGACAGCTTCATAAAACAAATTTTTCACGTCAGAAAATTTGAATGATCTATTGTTTGAAGCCACATAGTTTTTTATATTTGCTCAAATCATTTCAATGGGATTTAATACGCAGTGATAAGGGGACAGGCTTTAAACGGTGTTATTTTGGTTTTTAGCCATTTCGTCAATAACATTAGGATTATATTTATATTTGTGCTGCCTGACTAGATGGATAAGTTCTGCTTTGACCATATTTTCATTGAAACTAATGTCTTTTGATAGGAGCCATTTTTGACTTTCTGCCTTTCTTGTAGACATTGTTGGAATTCTATCTAGTTTTCTAGTGTGGTATGCAGCATTATCAACTAATGACGGCATTATCGTCAAGCTTTGGGGGCGTTTCTTCAAACCATCGTTCAAATGAACTCCCGTCCAGTTCTTCATGGTAGTTATATGTTCCATAACAATGTTGAAAATTGTGTTAGGGTATAAACCTGTTTTGTTCGCCACACGTCTTTTAATATCGTTAAGGACAATTTCTTCTGCCTGAATATTCAAATGTCCCTTCTTGTGACGTTTTCGGGGAGGAGACATCACTGAAGAGGAAGCGTGGCTGAGGGAAGCATTGGGAGAAATATTCACAGTTTCATCTGCTGTATCCGTAGACGACATGCTAACGTATGAAGACACGCTATCTATGCACTGCATATGAACAGCAACTGCCGGCGTCAGCGTGCCGGCGATAACCCGTACCACCCCCCCGAGCCTGAGTTCTATCCTGTCGATTCCTGCACTTGTTCGTAGTTTTATTGCCGGATGACCAATTGATATTGCAATGCTCAGGCGGCTGCCGCTTTGCCGCGCCGCATATTTGTTGTGCTGGTGCATAAATGGACTACGAATATGGTATAGAGACACTAGAGATATGCTACTGTGCCGAATTTACAAGGAAGCATTTTATAATAAACCTAGAATATGGCGTTATAATGACCAATACACACTACTTGTTCATGAAAATGACACGTGACACTTGACAATTGACACAAGTATAGGCTGTTTTCCGTGAACGATCGATACCGCTCCAGTCAGCTTATATCACTGTCTTTCTGGGGGATTATGAGCGCCGTAAAGAGAGACGGACGATAACCAAAAACCATCCGTATAGCACACGTGAAACCGCCTAAGGTCAAAAATAAACAACAACAAACTCCCACGACTGCTAGACTAGACGGACTCCCACTTTTCTCCTTCCACATTTACCAAATTTTTATACGTAAGCAAAAGCAATTTAGCTTTCCCGTTGGAATTTAATTTACAACAACTTATCGTGTAAGCAGGAAGTGCAGGCGGATATGGAAATTCGTTGTTAACTCGACTAGTTAATACTTAACTCCCACTTTAGAGCAAGAAATTAGGTGAGTTCATGCAATTTTACCCATTGGGATATCGTTTTTATTTCACCTTTCATTCATTTTTATCACATAATAATTACCTTCACTTATTAAATGCATTAGTATTTTGGGATCTCCAAAATGTGAACTTTTTAAATTCGGTAGTTTTCTGTCTGCACTGACTTATTACTTTTATTCAACTTTGCCTTGATAACTGATCATTCAGAATTAAAAAAGGCTAATGTAAAAGGGGCAAATTAAGAGTATAACTGTATATCTTTAGAATGTTAACAGACATCCTTGTCCAGTGTAAATTCTGACATCATCATTGAATCTTCATTCTCTGTACAGCAAATTTATTTTCTAATTATTGCCACAACACTATTGGCAATCAAGGATTAACACAATATTGTAATGAATTTTAATCATCAGTTAGAAATTTAGGGTATTTCAAGGTGATTCAGAAGACTTGGTATTGTCTAATGATTGCAGTGCATGTATTGGTATGATTTTATTATAAGCTTTAGTAGGTATAAAATTATTTTAAGTTTAATAAAAATAAAAATAGGAGATCATTTGAGAAATTATTTTAACCACCAATACCCAAGTTTAATGTAAATTTATCCATATTATCAATAAGGCAAATGTTATTTTATATTTTAATACTTTGCATTAAATATATTTACTTAGCTGTTCTATCTCTTAATTTCAGGCCCACTTTTGTTACTGCAATTATTTGCCATATAATAAATGCATACTATACTTTAGAACAAATATTTACCAAATATATTATGTACATATTTTGTGAAAGATAATATTTTACTAGTGGTATTAATATAATGCTGAACACAATTGCTTAAATCCCTTGATAAAATTGAGATAAAGTAAATTGTATTTGTTTAAAATATATTTACACAAATGTATACTTGTTACATTCAGTCCATTTGAGGCATTCCAGCATTCTTCACCACAAATGAAATATTAGTTATAATACATTGTTTTATTTTTATATGTTGTTCTTTTCAAGATCCAAAATGCCAATCAAGAATATCTGTTGCTTGGGTGCAGGATATGTGGGGGGCCCAACTTGTAGTGTGATTGCTCTGAAATGTCCAGAAATTAAAGTAACAGTAGCAGATCTCAGCAAGGAAAGAATCAAACAGTGGAATTCTGACAGACTGCCCATATATGAGGTATGATTCATTCATAAGACACCTAGAAGTATTATTGTTTCAAAATTCTGCTGCAACACCTACTTTTGCAAGAAAATGTCTAGGTATATTGAAATACTGAATTTGCTTTCAAAAACAATTTTTAATTTTTTTTATGAGTTTAAGACAAAATCTGCAGACAATATTTTTAGTTTTTCTAATTTTAGTTGTGAAATGTTATCTCAAGATATTAAACATTTTTTGCTAATTTGCAGCCTGGTTTGGATGAAGTTGTTATGTCATGCAGGGGAAAGAATCTATTTTTCACAAATGATGTTCATGCTGCCATTCTTGAAGCTGATTTGATATTCATCTCAGTCAATACCCCTACAAAAAACTTTGGGAATGGAAAGGTAACTAAACACATTCCTTCAAAAACATATATCACTTATATTGAATATATATTTTTTACAGAAAAAATTAAATTATTATGAATTTTTTTTAAAATCTGAATAATTTAAAACTGGCTTAGCAGCTCTATTATTGAAAAATATAAACCACCTATATGAAGATATTAATAAATAACCTGATAAGAATTCCTGTATAGGTGATGTGTCATTTGTTTACTACCATCAACAAGTAAATAGTAAATATTTTGATAGCTATAATTATTTTCAGTTGCTAATCTTTCACATACAAGTGTTTGTGATTCTATGGATGAGTGCTATGAATTTTTTCATGTAACTTTAACACTAGTGTTATTGAAAGCACCATGTTATGAAAATTTTGGTTACAAAACAATTATAATTCCTAGTATCTATATTATCCTCAAATACTATGAAACATAGCTGATGTTCCATTTTCACTCGACATGATCATGAAAAATCTAGGATAAAGGCCATCCTTTTTGAGGAAGCTCTGTATATATATATATATATAAAATGTATTGTTGATAATATATAATTTCAATGTGTGAGAATTCATCTGGCTGTTCTCATTTATTCAAACTGCAAATTAATTTCACTAGTTCATAATACTGATATTGTTCATTTTCATCAGCAGTGCTGACCAAGATAAAGTTGCAGTGAATGTGCAACATTGTAAATCTAGATTTATGAATAAGAATCAATATTGCACCAAATTTTAATAATAACTAAACAAAAAATCTGATTAGATTGGAAATTTTACAAGTCATAATATGAATATTGTTCTATTAATTACTGTTATAATCTATAAATTATCAGGAAATAGTGGTATCAATACTGACCATGAATGAGTATTTGTACCTCAAAATATTTATCAAGTTTATGTCTCTCTAATATTTGGGAAAAATATTCAAAAATCCTCATCATCAAAAGTTGTTCATTTCAAAACACTACAACTTGAGAGGACATACATATTTCACAAATATTTCAACCCTATCAAATGTACTATAAATGGTAGCTTTTCCATCTTTCTTTGTCTACAGTATACATTGGACACAGCAATAATTTATGTAATTTTAATATTAATAATTTTAGGGTAGAGCAGCAGATCTGAAATATGTCGAGAGTGCAGCAAGGTTAATTGCTGATATTGCCAAAAGTAACAAAATTGTTGTTGAAAAAAGCACTGTGCCTGTAAGAGCTGCAGAAAGTATATCCAAAATACTGATGGCGAACCAAAAACCAGGAATTACATATCAGATTTTATCTAATCCAGAATTTCTTGCTGAAGGTAAGACTAGAAAAAGGTGACAGTCTTGCACTCAATATTACAGATACTGAGGCATGTTTAAACAAAAAATAATATATCCCAAAATCGAAATTGTAGGGCAAAATGTTCATCTTTGTTTCCCTTATGTATTAAGAAATATAATTTTGGGCACTGAATTTGAAAAACGTTGTAAAAAAGTCGTGAGGTGTCATCTGCAAATTCGGGGAATAAACTGAAGTCAAATTTGAAATCTACACATCGTTTTCGGCAAGATCGCTGTTATGCTGAAAATTATTTTATAGGAAACCTTAAAATATAATAGGCAAAATTTCCATTTCCATTTGTCCACAGTGAATGAGTTCATTTATGTATTTTGGAGCACTGCTTGTGAATATGTCTGCCAAAAAATTGTGAAGTATTTTTTGAACCCAAAAATTAGGCAGAAAATGAGTCGCTTTGAACCTGCGGCTGGTCCTAGTGACATTGGTTTTGGAGTGTACATACCAAATTTATTTGGGAAACAAGTTTTTGTATAGATTAGATAGTAGCTGAAGCTGAGTATGACCTTGAAAAAAATCGTGAATTATTTAATTGAATTTTTAGGCACTGCTATCAACGATTTGCTTTACCCAGATCGGGTATTGATTGGTGGTGAAGAATCTCCTTCTGGTAAAGAAGCCATTGAAGCATTATGCAGCATTTATGAACATTGGATAACTCGGAAAAATATCTTGACCACCAACACTTGGTCATCAGAATTGTCAAAACTTGTAAGTTACTTTCGAATTTTTAAAGATACACGCGACGGCAGTTACGCTAACGACGAATGTGCGAAATGTAAAATCAACAACATCAATAAACCATCTATAATAATTGCTAAAAATATTAAAAGTAAAAGAACAGTTATTTGGATTATGAGGCATTATCTGATTTTTCAGGCTGCAAACGCTCTATTGGCCCAAAGAATTTCCAGCATAAATTCACTGTCAGCTGTCTGTGAAGCAACTGGTGCTGACATTTCTGAGGTCGCCAGAGCAGTTGGGCTTGATTCTAGAATTGGTCCAAAATTTCTTCAAGCCTCTATAGGTGAGTTAAGATACCTATTGAAAATTTTATCTTTTCAACACAGACCTTCACAGCATTTGACGCATTGAGTCTACGCATCGTGCTAATGGGCTCCAGTATTCTTCTGGTACATTCAGTTTTATGGCATCTGGGAAGAATGGATTTTCCTAATTTACCCTTTTTTGTGTTGGGCCTACACTCATGTATCCTTAACAGAAGAGTTGTCAACACACGTTTTCAAAACTTGTGAACCGTTCAAAATTTTGTCGGTTCTAAAAACAGAATAATTTGAAAATTTGAGAGTCTTGAAAATTTTCGAAATATTGAAAATGAATATATTAAAATCATGGATTTTTTTAACCTTGTGAGAATTTAAAAAAATAAAGAAAACTAGAAATTTTGAAAATTTTGGAGATTTTATAAGTAGTGAACATTCTAAAAATCTTGAAAGTTTTTAAAATATTGAACATTTTGAAGGAACTTTAATTTTCCTCACGTCTGACGAAATACTAACCCCTGCACAGTGGCATTTAAAGATCACTTTAAGGTCATATCAAGGACATTTTAAAAAAAGCTGAGCATTTGATCCCAACTGCATGCATTATATCTGAATCAGAGGTAAATTAGTCAGTGTAAGGGCATCTGAAGGTCTTCAAGGTCACTTCAAGGACAAATTCCAAATAAGTCTAGCATTCGGATCCAAATGCGTCTCACAGATTTTAGCTGTCGTTGAGCTCAAATCAGAGACCAGTTTGTCTCTACACCATCTGAAGATATTTTTAGGACCACTCAAAAGACAAGTTCAAACAAAGATGAAAAACCACCTGCCATAATATAGCAGCAAATAAGGTTGCATTTCTAAATAGCTTGCAAAAGTTAGCAAGAATTGATATATTTTATTTGGCACTACTTCAAGGATCACAAACATAGTATACTCTATTGGGGTGATGGGCTCGTACTATCTTAATTAAGATCCATATTCAGATGCTCAGTTATTTTCAACACAATACTACAGAAGCTCTCAATTTTGCCATTAAAAAGTGGTATCGAATGGTACTCCACAAATTTCAAGTTTAATAGTATGTCTTGGTAAAGGTAGTGTAAACAAAGTTCTCATTATATGGAAAACTTATAATTCAAGGTCTTAACTTTAAAACAGTTGATAATTCTCATTAATTTACGATACTCTTTTTTTAATGTTTGCCAGGTTTTTGCATAGGTAGACCACTGTGCGCCGTTCCAAGGAAAGAATATACTTTTTGGAAGCAAAATATTACTCTAAAGTATATGGTATCAACAGCCAAACGTCGCGACCAAGCGGCACTATTTGTTTACAATCAATAGTTCTATGATTTAGAGATAACCAAGATCTCCATTACGACCTCCGTATAGTGTATTACAATACACTAAATATTGTGACGAAAACACCCTTCTCATTTTTTGAAATCTAATTTATTGTAACACTTGCAACTAATTTATTACAAATGTATGATTACGTCGACTGGACTAACGCGTGGGGGTCTCAATAAGAGCGCCGGATTCGATTTTCAAGAAAAACAATTTCTTATCGAACTAAGCGAGTATTTATCTCTCAATATGAAGGGAAATAGTTGCGATTAAACATGAAATAGGACAACCGGTAAATGGCCATCACGAAACCTCTGGCACAGGGTCAGTCTTTTCTCAAAATTCTGGATAACGTTTTCGCACAACTGTGGCTCCATTTTGTCGATAACGAGCCTTGTCTCTTCTTTAAAGTGTTCAACTATTTGTGGCTTCCTTCACATAGCCCCAGAGGAAGAAGTCCATTGGCGTTAGATCGCACGATCTTGGTGGCCAATTTTGATCGCCAAACCGAGACATGACGCGTGCTGTGTGGCAGGTCGCACCGTCTTGTTGGAATAACATATCCTCCACATCAATTCGATCCAACTGGAACCACAAAAACTTGGTTAACATTTCGCGATTCCGCACACCATCAACAGTTACCGCAGTTCCAGCTGCATTTTCGAAGAAATACGGTCCAATCACTCTGCCACTTCAAAGTGCGCACCAAACGGTAGCTCGCGGCGGATGCATTCGTTGTTCGATTATTGCACGAGGGTTTTCAGAAGCCCAGATTCGGCAGTTCTGTTTATTGACGTACCCGTTCAGTTGAAAATGTGCCTCATCAGATAAAATGATTCTCTTCGAGAAATCCGCATCAATTTGGTGGTGCTCCAGCGCCCAATCAACGAATTCACGGCGCTGCGCTTGGTCCGTTGGCTTGAGTTCTTGCGTAAGTTGAACCTTGTATGCATGCAAGACCAAATCTTTTGTCAAAATTCGTTGCAGAGTGGGTCTGGTAAGGTTCAATTCTTGGTCACGAATTTTGTCTCAAATTTTGTAATCAAACGGCGAACTGTCGACTCATTGGGCGCATTATTGCGACCGAAAATTGTACGTAATTTGCGAACTGTTTCCTCGAAATTTCTTCCATTTTTGTAGTCAGTTTCCACAATAATTAAACGTTGCTCGTTTGAATACTGCTCCATGACGTCTAATCGCGTGGTCTGGATATGACAGCTGTCATCAAGTAAACACCATACCATTTGTACAAAAAAATGGCGGCAAATTCAAATCCGGCGCTCTTGTTGACTACACCCTTTATTTATCTTCGAGTATACGAATCCAGAATCCTTATAGACAGAACTCGACCCGTAATAGAAGCTTGGTAGATAGCGATCGGTGTTTCTAGATGCATGGCGAACGCTCTCGTATAGTCGCGTAAGTGGTAGCCTAAGCGTTGATGTTGCGAGGATGACTGATTGTTGCTCAGAGTTCCAGTTACGAGGGCCTTATAATATAATTCCGTCAAAAGAAATAAATTGGAAAATACTACATTATTTACTGGTTCCAGGTTTCGGAGGAAGCTGTTTTCAAAAGGACATCCTAAATCTTGTCTACATTTGCGAATGTCTGAATCTCCCTGAAGTCGCCAGTTACTGGCAACAAGTAATCGATATGAACGAATATCAAAAGTCTCGATTCACGTCAAAAGTCATCGAATCTTTGTTCAACACTGTGACTGGGAAGAACATATGCATATTAGGATTTGCTTTTAAGAAAAACACTGGGGATACTAGAGAAAGCCCGGCTATATACGTTGTCAAAACTCTGTTGGACGAGGGTGCCTCCTTGAAAATATATGATCCAAAGGTAAAACACATTCTGTAACAAAAGTTGTCATTTACTAAATTGAATTTTCTAGGTTCTTGAATCGCAGATAATCGAGGATTTAACTTACCCAGCCATATGTGAATCACCTGAAGAAGTCATGAAAAATGTAATGATCTGCAAAGATGCATACAGTGCGGCTAAAGAATGCCATGCTATCGTTATTTGCACCGAATGGGATGAATTCACAGTAAGTTTCAAAATGTCTACTGGTTTCCGTAGAAAAAAAAAATAAAATCTCAACTGAAGAAAAAAGTTACCCTTACAGGAAATTGATCCTTCTGATTGGACTCTTGCAGAATTTTGAACAACCTTACGTCCTGTACAGAGTATTCTGGAAGTTGTAGCTTTTCTTTTTAGAAATAGATACGTTTGAAAAAAGCTATTGTGCATTTTTAGTCGAAAATTGCAAAACAAGTAACCAGTGTGTTGCGCCAACAGTTCTGGGTAGGTTTTCGCATTTTCAGAGGATTTTGGACGTTTTTGGGATGATGGACGAGGGTGACGTGTCTGGTTAAATGAAAAAAGACAGATAACCTCACGCTCGCTTGTCACTTTGGGAGGCTGGAGTGCCTACCCTAAGCGGCACTGGGCTTTGCTGGTTTTACGGGACCCATCTTAAAATTGCAATGATGCTTTGGTTTGGGCATGTGGAAAGAAAAAAAGAAACGAAAGGTCACCTTAAAACGGACAAACAAAATATATTGTCACATGATTGTCGAAACGTCGTACAATAAACAGAAATTTAAACATTCAAAGAGTACTATAAAAGTTTTGCAATACAGCTTTATTTATTGACTTCGTTCAAAGTAATCTCCAACACATTCAATACACATCTCCATCCGCCAAAACCAGTCCTTGAACCAGCTCTGCCAAGTTTCCCCGGGAGTGCGGCACACGCCCTCAGAAGGTCCTCATCGCTAGAAAACCGTTTTCCTTTCAGCTTCATTTTCATATGCGTAAACAGTGCAAAATCGCAGGGAGCAAAATCTGGACTGTAAGGAGGGTGCTCAATAAGTTTCAGTCTAAATACTCGGTGCAGGCTTTAGCGCGGTGACGCTGGAGCGTTATCATGGTGGAGGTACCAAGTGTCCATTCTTGACTTTGGCCGCAGGTTTTTCATATATGACTTTAGGCAGGCACTGTTCCTTGTACCACTAAGCTGTGACTGTCTTCTGTGTGTCCAAAATGACACGCTCCACAATTCCGCTCGATATGAAAAATACAGCTATCATTTTTTTCTCAACAGATCAGGGGTGTGTCCTGATCATAAAAGACCCAAACTTTGTTTTGAGCCTTGGTCGTAATAATAGTGCCAAATCTCGTCACCTGTCACGATGCTGTTTACATACCCAGATTGCCCCATATCAAACATGTTCAGCATCTTTTGGCACCAAGTCTTACGACGAGTCTTCTGCTCTTCCATCAGAAAGAACAAAGTTTCTTTACGTGTAAATGGTCATGCAGAAATGAATGAAGTGCTGGTGCATGAAGGTGTAGGGTCTCCTCTATCTGTTGGTATGTCACTCTCCGGACTTTGTCAAGCATTTTCCTCACAACATTACCATCCTTCCCTCTCAGCGTCCTCCAGAGCCAAATTGCCCCTTTGGAATTCTCCGTACCACCTTAATATAGTGTTCGATGAGGACAATCATTATTTAATGCAATTACTGGTCTATGCTTAAACCACGCGTAAAGTTTACCGTAAAACCGCCCTTATCTCACTACATATCCACGATGCAATAGTCTGCACTTTACACTGTCAATACAAATGAACAACTAAATCAACAAGCTTGCTACTGGCGGCTACTATGCACTCATGGACATGTCTCAACATGCAGCCTTCTGCGTCCGTTTGTTAAGTCATATTGCAAAACTTTTATAGTACCCTTTGAAAATGTAAAAAAGAAAAGCACGCTTTGTTCACTTGTTGAAATTTTAAATATCATATCTTGCTGAAAAACACAGATTTGTTAACTTTGTCACTTTGCAAAAATCGGGCTGTCAGACGATCTGAATACACTCGCGCTGGTCTGCAGCATCTTGGAGACCCTTATAGCTTATTCACTGAAACAAGGCAGTTACGTCACAACTTCAAATAATGACAGTGACGCGCACATGGTTGCCACATTAATTAAAACTGCTAGATCCTAGGATGTTTTACGAAATCTACTTTATGTCTTCGCTGCCTTACCGCAACCAACATTACGGAGCGTATGTTTTGTAAATACTAGAGCTAGTATAAATTCTATTTACTTCCTAATACCTCTCTTACGGAGTGCAAAGGCAATAATGGAGCTTCATGATCTCGTTCGGTCGCAAAATATTTTTTCAAAGAAATGACGAATTCTTTTACTTGTCGACCCAGAGACTTCGGCATTTTAGCAAAATGCTTAAAAGGACACCTCAAAGTTAAAAAAAAATGTTTTTATAAAATAACAATGCAACAGCCGTTGGCGTAATTACCTGACAAGCTTTGCGACAATGTCACAACACAGAAAACTGTTACTGACAATGCACCCGGGAAATTCATACTATACATACCAATTAAGGATCTATTTTGTATTGAGGTTGGCATTCAAATTTACTAAATATGATGTAACTGCTGTAGGAGTATCCAATTTATAAACAGACAGCTCGCTCTACATCACGGCGCGTTAAATATTGACTAACGCCGCATCTTTTTACTTCCTACGCCACTGGGTGAGGAAGTATAGTAAACGCGAAAATTTTATTAAATGAGATATTATGTTTTTTGGATTCCATATAACACGTAACACACGCATCACTAAAAATCATGTCACTCATTTTCGTCGGTCCTTCTGCCCGTCTATAACTAGGATTTTGAAATTTCCACGCTAGGCTAACGATGGAAAAGCTTTATACTTTTTGAAGATCGGTTCAGAGGTGGCGGATCTACAGGGAAAATAAGAGAATAAAAATCGCTCAAGCTTCATTTTTTGACGTTTCACATTATTCTGATCATTTTCGGAAAAACGTTTGCAGGGAGGAGTGTATGTCAATTTTTTATGCTAGCAATGTATACGTTTCCAACATCGGTGGTTCTACACATTTTTCATACATCATCATCATCATCATAAATTTCCGCAAATATTTGCCCTTATCACTTGAATGATGGAGATATGTCTTCTACGTATATATACGCGTGTCTGACTGCTTCAAATACGGAGGGATAACTGATCCACTGAGCGATGATATGATGCATGTATACAGAGAAATCCAAATATCACTGACGATGTAGTGTGTACGAGAGAGAAGCGTGCAATACTAGTGTTAGAAGGAGTGCGCCAATGGCAACGCGGCAAAACGCAGTTGCTCCGTGTTGCTAGGCAACGTGGTGCTTCTATCTCATTCTAACATACGTATTGCACGCTTCTCTCTCGTACACATTACGGCGTCAGTGGTATATGGATTTCTATGAATATTCGTACATGTATCATCGTGCAGCGTTGCCACGTTGCTGGGTACTCGCCGGTACTGTTGGTAGTGCGGTCTGCGGTAGGATAGATCGCATTGTTACATATTTGTGGCCAATTTTTTTCTAAGCGGGAGTAACTTGTGCCGAATATAATCCGTCATGAATTGATGACACTGTTGCATTTTATATCCTGTGTAAAGCCCCAACTTTAAGAAACTCATGTATTAAATGTATCGAATATTTTCGTTTTTCAGGCTTTGGACTACAACAAAATCTACAGCGAAATGATGAAACCGGCGTACATATTTGACGGTAGAAAAATTTTAGATCATCAGGCACTCGTTGACATTGGTTTCTACGTTCAAACTATCGGCAAAAGACTGAACAGGCCTGCTGAGCTGAGGTGCTGGAACAGCAGTCCTGGAGTTATATAAACAAAGTCCATGTGTCTTTGGTTTCAGCTTGCCATTTGAACACAGTTTCTGCTTAGCAAGACTAAGCCACCAAAAACACCGGATTGTTTAAATAAACCAAATCGTTATTTTTGAAACGATAATTCATTTTCAACCATAGAAAAAACTTGTTACCATCCAACAAAAATAACCACCCTTGTCAGAATCAGGTGTCCCAAATTGATATGATGGTCTTATCCCACTGCTGGATGATTTTAGAAAAACCGCGCAGCATTTATAAAATTACCCTTCCATTTTTTTTTATTCAGTATTTGCTTTTGTAAGGAACGTTATTATATGAGTAAAAACTTATTATCCAAGGAGACATTTTTTTGTGTAGAAAACCGAAAACACAAAATTTTGTTTGAATTCAATTGTAACTTGCTCCCTTGGGTGATAAGTCAAAGCTCTAGGGAATGTACTTAATTCTTACTCGATCTATGGGTCTCAAAATATAGTATTAAATGCACTGAATTTTTTTTTACTTGTCCTATTTTGGCTTTCAATGTATAGGAGAAAGAATCAGAGAGAGGTAAGAAATGACTCAAAAAACATGGCATCCACAAAACACTTTATATTAATTTGTCGGAAATAAAAGCGTTGCTGTCACATACAGAGAAATCCAAATGTCAGTGACGAGGTAATGTGTACGAGAGTGAATCGTGCATTACGTATGTTCGTGGCCTCGTCACTCGGGTTGCTAGGCAACCTGGTGCTTCTATATCTTTCTAAAATAAGTATTGCACGCTTCTCGTGTTTCTCTCTCGTACACATTACGACGTCATTGGTACATGGATTTCTCTGTAAATAATCCTTTTTGGATGAATTCATCGACCATCACTTGTAATGAACGCATTTTTGTTTACATTTACTTTAGTTTAGACATATATTTATTGTAGGGATATTTATCATCCATTTGCAACCTACGAAATATATTTTTTTTTAACATAGTTATTAATCACACTTTTTGCGAGAGAAGAAAATCTGTAAGTTATCACATAGCTATTTAACTTTTAGTGCCCTACGCGGAATACAAAACGACATAGTTTCGTAATAAAAGAAGTACGTCAACTTAAAGTTCAGAAGTTTTATAACCTCAATTTGCTTAGTTGACCATCAATTGTCGGTCTATTTTATATGGTCGCGAGTTAACTAGACAGCCTGAGCTTGAGATGTTTGTTTATTTCATATGACTTTTTGACGTAACCACCAAAAAACGTGAACAGAGCTAAGCTCGATTCTCTTTAGCAAATGTAGTGTTTTATAAATATTTTATGATAGCTTGGCAACACCGCCTCGGTAGCAAGGACGGTCCTCGCGTAGATCCCTGTTTTTATTTATAAACCAATAATATTCCAAGAGCGGACCGCAAAGTTTTGATTACATCACGTACTGATATGGATTATTAAAAACTAATTTTACATATTTTGATGCTATCAGCAAACTTGCCAAGAGATTTGCCTAGTTTTTAATATTCAATATCAGTACGCGATGATGTAACACAAAAATGTACAATTGGCTTCTCTACTATAATGCAGGTAACTTTTAAGGTCAATGGGTCCGACCGCTTGGTTATAAAGGCACTCTACGATGTTTTTTTCAAACTTACGTTGCACGTTTCTCTCCCTCGTACACATTGAAAGCCAGGGCCGAATAAGTAAATGAATCTCAGTATATATCATTTTCAACATTGGAAACAGCTGGTTCCAAAAATTGGAAATACGGATGGCATTTTTAATGGAATGGTGTCTCTTTTTAATAAAATTAAATCAAAATCTTGAGATAACCAGAAATTAAGCCTAGTAACAATGAATGTTTTCAATGTTGTATTTGGTATTAGATAAGTTTAAACAAAAAAATCATGCTGATACTTGTAAAACTCTTCTGAGCTTATTCCTGTATTACACTGCATTCTTCTTTATATTTTATTATATATGTACTATATATATATATATATATATATATATATATTTTTACCTGCGTTTTATGATACTCTTAAAATTAATTATATGGTGCAATATAGAAATACTACAAAGTTTTAAATATATTATGCTATTGTTATTGATAAGCGTCACATTATTGAATGAGTTTATTCAATATGCTCAACTGTCTATATGTCATAAACTGGCTGGCAAACAATACACAACAATAAAATGCACTATTATCATGATAACTTTGAATTCTCCCAAGTATCCACCTATTATGGAAAATCTACAAAACTGTTATCAATAAAATATAAATCTATATGAAACTGAATGTTCAAATTTTAATAAACTTTACAAAACATAGTGTTTATTTACATTTGTCTACTCTCATCTTATCGTGTTGATCTACTATCATTTTTGCTTCTCATTCCAGTTTTACAGCTACGTATTCGTCCTCCTTTCTACAGTCATAGTTAAACTTTATTCCACTCGTAATCACCATACATATCAGCCAACCCTCGTAAACTGATGTAAGACCACAAGATGCTAGTGACAATTTTTCGTTAAGTTGGTTATGCTTTCAAAGAACAAGAAATTAGAATTGCTAGACCTTATGACTTAAATCGGTCCCACACGATGTGGCGAATGCCTTACAACGTTTGGCACATGGCCATTCGCTACATCGTGTGAAAGAGCCCTGACAGATTACATGTATCCAACGTTCGCCACATGGCACGATCGGGCTCTTGTCGATTGACCCGCGTCAAAGGACGTTTCAACGTTGGAAGCATGGTTCGTTACGCTCCCACACAAGATGTCATGTGTTTGATGGTTTTATGTTAGAACCAGTACTGGCGAAAAATATATAATAGTGGTATGTGGGAAGTATATTGATTTGAATACCTACCTATTCATAATGTATGTTCCGTAACTAACTTTTGAGGAGAATGAATTAAATTAGTATACTTACATACAAAGCATAGGTTGTCATAACAACACTTTTTTCATATTGCTAATATTTTGTACGTTTCGCAGGTGAGTTACGGCTGACCTAAGGATATGTATTTTAGTAAATTATAAATTATCAAGTGCTTACAGTTGTTTCATTATAATGTCCTGTTGCAATGCAAGACTAGTTGAGAAATATATTGACTTGCATTTCATAACTAACGAAAACGATTAAATAAATGATAATGCTGAATGTACTATTAGGATTTTGATTAAATTTTGACTTTAGGTTACTACCACGGAAATGACGAAAAAGCTCTGCAGTTTTTGAAAATCGGTACAGTGGCGGCAGAGTTATCGTCGAAAAACAAACAAAAAACCAGTCAAACCTCGTTTTTCGACATTTCTGAGGCTTCTGACAGACATAAGTTTGGTCGTTGAAGACAGATCTGAAATTATTTTTCGGCACTCGAAAAAATTGTTTCATCGTTCATTTTGTAAAATGTTTCCTTCAGTTGTAAAGGTTCAAGCGCGACACTGACACCGATAATCAGTGTTGCCGTACGTAGCGGAATTCCGCTATTTGTAGCGGATTATTTTGAGAAGAGCGGCGGTAGAGCAAATTAGCCCAAAATGTAGCGGAATTTATTACATACAAAACTATTATATTTATTTCACTGTTTTAACGTTAATAACGTTCTAAATCCTAAAAAGGCAGTGGCTAGAGTCTGATTTATTATCACATTAATAATAAAATTGGTGCATTTGGTGCCGCTTAAGCCATCTAGGAACAGAGAAGAGAATTATTCCACTTGCCTTTTTTTTTCAATAACAGATGGCGTACGTACTGCTTTCAATACTAATCGTTTCTAACAGGTCTCAGCCTCTCAGCAGGCAGACATAATATTAGGTTTCTCGCTTTGTATTGTATTTTTCAGCTCTGGGTATATACTGTTTAGTTTCGTTTATATTAGTGTTCTTATTTTTGTGTTGATCATTTTATTGATATATCATTTGCTGCAGATTTTAACATTAAATCTACTGGTAAGTAACAAAACTGCTTAAATATCTAACATATTATAGTTTGATCCAGAAATAAATCTTAGTCGCGAAATTTGTTTTTAACGCTTTTTCTTCTGGAAAATAGGAATAATGGAAAGGAGACAGCAGACCATTAACGATTTTTTTGATAAAAATCCTTGGAAAAAACAAACGGTGAAACCAAACGTGGCCGTACCATCCACTTCGACTGCATCTGTGTCGGACTCGGAGCATCCCGAACCTGAATACAGACAAAATAGAAGAGCGGAATCTAGTGGAATCAGGTCTGAGCCGGATAATTCGACTTGCGAATCTCAGGATAACCAAGAGCCAGAGCAACCTGTTAAGAAAAAGACACGAAAACAAATGTTTACTTCATCATGGCTAGAAGATCCGTTATTTAAAGGCTGGTTGGGACCTATTGAAAATGACAACTTGAAAGCAAAATGTAAAGCTTGTAATCAAATAATGGGTGCTAAAAAATCAGATTTAGTGAATCATTCGAAATCAAAAAGGTATGCCACTAATGTACAAGCAATTTCGAATGTAAGAACGTTAGATAGCACCTTTTCAGTCTCGGGAAGCACGTGAGTTGGAAAAACGGCAAATATTTGCTTGCTTAAGATATAGTCTTTTAGTTCTAAGTCATTATATAAGTTTTAGAACTGTTGATCATATAACAGGAGTTAGTCAATTATGTTTTAAAGACCCAGATCTCTCTAGCTCACTTAAATTAAAAAGATCCAAATGCATAAGTGTAATTAAAAATGTGCTGGCTCCTGTTATTAAAGACGAAATAATTTCAGAATTGGAAAATAAACCATTTTCTATTTTATTGGATGAGAGTACAGACCTGAGCAATACAAGACTACTATGCATTCTTGTAAGGTATATTCATAAAAATTCAATTAATACCCATTTATTAGATATAATTAAAATAAACGCAGATGAAGGTACCGCCAAAGGTTTATATTCACTTTTTAAAAAATGCGTTATATCCAATCAAGTAAAAATTACCAATATTGTTGGATACTATTCCGACAACGCTAGTGTTATGATGGGCAATAACGAATCTTTCAAAACTTATCTTTTAAAAGATAATCCTAATATAATTGTCAATGGCTGCATTTGCCACTCTGCTCATTTAGTGGCGGTGGCGGCAGCTGAAAAGATTCCAAGCAACGTTGAAACTCTTTTACAAAACTTATATTCTTACTTCTCAAGAAGCCCAAAAAGGTAGTGTGTTCTTGAAGAATTACAGGAATATTTCAAAAAGTCAAAATCAAAAATTTTAAGCCCTAGTAAAACAAGGTGGCTTGCTTTATCCAAATGTGTTGATAGAGTTTTGGATCAGTGGGACATCTTGCTTAGCCTATTTAGATTAGCTTCCATTGAAGACAAAAATCCTGTAGCAAATGTAATACTTAATGAATCACAGAATCCATTTGTTAAGGCGAATTTAATGTTTTTTAAAATTCGTGTTGCCCATTTTTAACCAATTTAATGCTCTCTTTCAATCAGAGAAAGTTATGCTCAATATCATATCAATAGAGAGTGCGCAATTTGTACGTCATCTATGTACAAACTTTATGCGACCAGAATATTTTGAAAATGAGAAATTGTATAATCTAAATCCTAATGATCCCCACTGCTTTTTACCAATTGAACAAGTGAATGTTGGTCCGCATACAATGGATGCAATAAAACACTGCAATAACACGGCAATCGAACAATTTAAATTAAAATGTGTCACATTTTACCAAAAATCGGTAGAAGAGTCCCTTAAAAGATTTCCTATCAAAGACAACTTCTTTTCAGAGCTAAAGTTTCTCTCACCGGTTGATGTGACGAACAATCGTCTTACTATAAGTGATACCTTTCATGACGCCGTTTTAAAAAAATTTGCCCTTCATATTGAAACCGAAAAGGCAATTTTGGAGCTAAAGAAAATATGTATTTATTTATTTTAGTGATAGTGAGAAAGAGGAAATTTTAAACACAAAAAGTAATGTCATTGAATTTTGGTCGTTTGTAAACGTCCTCAAAAATTTTAATGACGAATATTTAAAACTGGCTCTAATCATTTTAACATTGCCTCATGGAAACGCTGATGTTGAGCGAACTTTTTCTTATATGCTTGATTACAAAACAAAAAAAAGAAATAAAATAATACCATCAACTTTGTCTGCACTACTTACAATTAAATTAGACTTGGAATCAAAAAAACAGTGCTGTTTATCCTATAGTTTTAATGAGAATCATTTAAACAAAGGATTTATATAATGTAAATAAGGAAGAACAAGCTGAAGAAGAAGTAATTTCTGATTCTGACTGTGAATAAAATAAGCAAACGTAGGCATTTCCACGTTTCCGCTTCTTCTTTGTCCTTGTTTTTTGTTTTTTTTTTTCTATTAAGATTAAGATATTGGTGATAGTTTCTATTTTTTTTTATTAGTTCCTAATTCTAAACCAAAGACAGTTTTGTTTTTTTAGAGGTATACTTTTTATGTTTTTACGAAAAATTGCAATTATATTATGTTACTGTTTTTATTTTTAGTAGGGTTTTTAGACAGTGTTTTAAAAAAAGTAAATATGTAAAAAATATATTTGTTGTTTATTTTAAGCCTCCCCCCCCCCTTAAATTTTTAGACCGTAGCGGCATGTAGCGGAATTTTGCGATACATGTGACGGATATTTTAAACTTCGCTCTGGCAACACTGCCGATAATAGACGTTGGCGCCACCATGCGTCGAACGTCTGAGACTAAAAAGTTCATCCCATCATCGTCTAGTAGACACAATTGAAAATTGTGATAACTATTCGTCATTTATTTGTCTGGGCGGTCCGTAGGACCTTTGCCAATTAGTCACTGTCTGATGTACGTTAGTCGAATCTGTCAGTCCTGGTTGCCCAGAAACCAGACAAAGTCAAGGAAAAAGAGAAAGGGAAAGAGAAGAAAAAAGGAGAAGAACAAAGAAAAACAGATATGCTTAGTTTAAGAGGAAACACCTAGACTTTTTGACTTGGTACACGGATTAATTTTGAGGTGAACTAAACAAATTTTTTGATTGGGCTTTGTTAGAGTGTAATTTTGAGTTTACTAAAGATTCACGCTAACTTTTGATTACAGTGCGAGCCGTGGCCTTGAATGTTTACGAACTTGCTCCACTGAGTCACGCAACAGAGGGTTGCTGTGCGATTCCGCTTGACTGTAACGTCGCTGTGCCTGAAGCTTGACATAATCCCTCAAGTAAGGAATGTCAAGGTCTCTGTGTAGTGTCTCATTTGAGACATACCATGAAGCGTTGCAAATTGTCCGCAAAGTTCTGCTTTGGAGTACTTGAAGACTTTGCATGCGTGTCTTGGCAAGAAAACACCAAGCCGCACATGCATAAGTAATGGCTGGTCTAATAATCATTTTATATAGTCGACCTTTGTTTATCAAACTCAATTTGGAGGATCTACATAACAAAGGATATAGTTGCCGAAACGCAATTTGGAATTTTGTTTTTATGGATGATGTATGTTTCTGCCAGGCCATGCCTTTATCAAGGGTGACACCGAGATACTTGGCAGAATTTGTCCATGGTACTCGATTTCCGTCTACAGAAACCTCTGCTGGGGGGCCGCGACGTTTTTTGGTACAATAAATAGCCTGCGTTTTCGAATGATTAATTTTTATCAGCCACCGTTCCGCCCACTCTAGAACTTCGTCCACCGCATTCTGAAACCCATCGTGGACCAGATCACCAGTACACGACTGGGCGACAAGTGCAGTGTCATCAGCATAGAGGTAGACTTCACAGTTGCTGGGGGAAGGGACATCATGGATGAAAAGCGAATAAAGAATTGGTCCTAGGACCGAACCCTGAGGAACACCGGCCCGTACTCGC